CAATTTCTAATTTTTTGAGAATCGTCCATACTGTTTTCTAAAAGAGCTGAACCAGTCGGCATTCCCACCAGCAGTGAAGGAGAGTCCCTTTCTCCCCACATCCGCACCAACACCAGTTGCTTTTGTTCTTTTGGATATGTGCCAGGCTCTGTTGTGTGAGATGATATCTCATTATTGTTTTGATCTGCATCTCCCTGATGATTAGTGCTGTAGATCATTTTAAGTTTGGTTGTTATAGTTTGCGTCTCAAGCTTTAAGTTTGGTTGGTTCAGACATATAGATATATCACAGTCTACACCACTGTGTCTGAGGCTTCTGCCCTTTACACCTGCTCTGTCCTGTCAGCCTTTCTTAACTACCTCTCCCCCAAGACCCTCAATTTCCTGTCTCTCTTAGTTCTGTAATCTAGGGAACTAGATAATTTAGGTATCTCCTTTTGATACCTATATTTCCTTATACTACATATAGGTGAGAACATCAGATATTTGTCTGTCTTCTTCTGACTTACTTCACTAAACATTATATCCTCCAGTTCTATACAAACTGTAGCAAATTTCATGATTTCAGTCTTCCTTGCAGCTGCATAGTATTCCATTGTGTATAATTACCACACTTCTGTTATTCATATCTAAGCGGATACCTAAGTTGATTTCATATCCTAACTATTGTGCTAAATGCTGCAATATCTTTTTAAAAGATATTTATTTATTTTTTTTTTGTTTGGGGGTCATACCTGGCTATACTTAGAGTTTATTACTCTCTCTATGCTCAGGGATGTGGTGCCAGGGACCAAACCAAGGTTGGCTGTGTTCAAAACAAGCATTCTTTCCCACTCTACTATCTTTTAAGCACTTAATATTTTTATATATGTTATATTTTATTTACGTAAAAGTAGTTCACAATAGTTCATTACAGATACTATTCAAACAATCCCACCACCAAGCACCTTCCCACCACAATAAGAGGTAAGTGTGTGAGGATTGTTGTATTTCATTCTGGAGCCATTTAGGCCTGAATATAAGAGAATACAAATAAGTATGTTAGAAACCAAACAAATGTGTGATACTTTTGATAAGTAAATGGCATAGAGTATAAGAGGTCTACCATTCATGCAGTGCACTCCATGAAATTCTGTGTTGCTCTCTTCCTGGAGCTTTAGTTTATGGTCTCTGGGTCTTGGCCATTGATGAGATTACATGGCACCTGAGGGTGACGGGTCAGTTTGTGGGTGTGACTACCAAACTAGTAAAAAACTGGGGAGCTGAGGAGAGGAGGCCTAGTCCTGATCTGAGTGGGCTTAAAGATCTTAGTCACCAGTTCCCACGTATCTGGGTTTTCCTGTCGGTCAGCTCTCCAGTGAGGTTCATTCCATCTTCAGTGAGGTTTGTCCCCTTTTGAATGAGGTCGTCCAAACACATGGAGGGTGAACTTGAGCCTGGCTGTGGCTGGGTTCTAGAAGTTTTCCGCTGCTGGGTTCTGCTTGGGGCAGAGAGGGATACTCAACCCGTCCCCTCTGAGGTGCCACAGTGAAGACAGCCTGGTGCAGGATCAGGAAATTCTGCCAGCACTTAATATTTTTAAATAGAAAATTTGAGACACATTGATATAATTAGGAAGTGCGAAGAAAGTAATAAAATACATGCATATGTCATATAATTGTCTGTTGGTAGAGATAAACTTTCCTAAAATTTAGAAATAAGAAAGTTAAATTTTCATACCATTTGAACAAATTTAACTCATATTTTTTATCCTATATGGAAAATAGGTAGGTCAAAATACTTATATAAATAAGTATCTAGTATATAGAGAAACCTAAACAGTGCTCTGTTTGTATACAATGGCTGTGTGAACGGAAGGAACTACAGGTGTAGACAGTTCAGAGAGGAGAACAGGAGGTATTTACTTCAAATGCATATCTCTTTCTGTGACATGATAAAACTTGTTCCCCAAGATTTTGATTTTTAAATTTGTATCATTTTTCAGCACATAGGTTCATATTCTTTCAAGCCCTGTGATTACTGAAGTAAAATCCAACTGTATCAGAGAACGTAAACATGTGGTGACTGGATTTAGATCACGAATCACGACCATCCTGTTAGTTGTCCATTGCCTTGAGCAGGCCCCAGTGACATCTCCTTCATTCTAGCCCTGAGATTATATTCAAGGCTCTTTAGGAGAATGAGACCCATCAGAAATATACAATACTAGAAACTCTTTGATTGAACACATTTTTTACTAAAATTCCATTGAGAATTGGTGCATTCAGTTGAAATTTTATTATTAATATTTTTATTTGTAATCCAATTAACAGCCAAGAACCAGAGACTATAAAAGCCAGCTCCCGGAAGAGAACAGCACAGAGTCTCCTGCCCCCACGCCTGGCTGTCCTCACCAGGACCCCTTGGAGGAGGGCAGGTTGAGTTTCCCTCCCCGCCCCGAGCAGAGCTCCGCCAGCAACGACCTCCAGAACCAGTCACAACCATGCTGAGACCACTCTCCACAGGCATGAAGGTACTGGTAGAGGAACAAAGGCATGCGGGTCCTGGGACTGAGATCTCCAAGCCTGCTAGGATCGGGGCTGAGCATCCTCCACCCAGATCCTCCATCTTCCAGTAGGTAGGGGTCACACCCACCAACTGCCCCCCTGGCGCCGTGTAATCCCATCAACAGCCAAGACCCAGAGACTATAAAACCCAGCTCCCGGAAGTGCACAGCCGCATTTATGACCACGCGACATCTAATTATCTCATTCTTACTTTGGACAACCTGACAGGCTACCAAATGTAACCTGCCCACATGGCAGAGTCTGGAAAACTCCCCGTGGCATACCCAATATGCCAAATACCAGTAACAATGATGGGTCTCATTCTCCTAACCCTGAAAGAGCCTTGAATATGGCACTTTAAAATCTCAGGGCTAGGACAAAAGAGATGTTACTGGTGGCTGCTCGAGGCAATCGATGAACAACAGGATGATCATGATGATGATTGTGATCGTGATAGTGATTTTAGGCAGTAGGATTTACAATGCTTAGTTCATGATAGGGTTTCATTCATGCAATGTTTCAACATCACATTCCAAATCATAATATTCACCCCTCCACCATCCCCATTTATCTTCTACTTCGGGTAAGCACAGTCTATAGACCAATTAATTTTAATAAATACTTAATTAAAACTAAGTACTCATATTACTAAGATTAAAGGAAGAAGATATATTGAGAGATAGTACCATATTATATAGCAAACCCCAAGTGAATAAGAAAAGCTTAGATCGCTTATATGCAATTTTTCATAAGATTTGTTTCTTAGAAAATGTCTCTATTCTACTCACTCTGTCTTTTAGTTAATAATTAATATCTTGATGTCGTTCAAAATTATTAACCTTAAAGTTAGATTCATTCTTTGCTAACACCTTATATCTAAAAATTGCCACTATATATTGGTGAAGGCTGTTAATTCTTTGTTCTTTCACTTTTTTAAGTTCATAAAGAAAAAGTATGGTGTGGTGTTTTCAGTTCTTTAATATTTCATGTAATGAGATGTAGTCTATTTTAGATTACAAGCTGTGGGGAAAAATATTCTATTCCTCCTTCTCTCATTCCAGAAATATTTTTTTCTTCTGAGAATTTCTGCTTATAAGTTTATATATTAACAAACAGAGTACCCAAATTGAGGAGAAACATCAATAATCAACATGAGTCAAGAAAAGAAATAGAATTTTTCCAAAATGTTTGTGGTTTTCACACAAATCCAAATTAGTTTGGGTTAAAAGAATTTTTCATGCTGTGAACTTGGCTCTGTCTTTTTTTCCTAATTTCTTCACAGGTTGGATAAACCTTGTAAATCAAGTAATGTTTCTCAAGGGGATGGGGGAAGAAAACACCACTGAGCAGAGAAGTCTTTTATTGTCTATTAAAAATAAAGGAAGCAAGCATTTAGACATGTAAACACACTAGCTCTAATCTTTCTATCTTCATTAGCAATACCAACCTAAAGGATTCATGAGCAGCATTGCTGGGTCACAAGAGAGTTCAATTTCTAGTGTTTGAAGAATGTCCATATTGTTTTCCAGAAAGGCTGGACCACACATCATTATTACCAGCAATGGATGAGAATCTTTTTCTCTTCACACCCATGGCAGCACTGGTTGTTCTTTTTGATGCATGCCACTCTGTGGTGTGATATGAAATTGTTGTTTTGATGAGTGTCTCCCTAATAATTAGTGATGTAGAACACTTTTTACATGTCTTTTGATATTTGTATTTCTTCTTTGAGAAAGTTTCTGTTCAGCTCTAGTAACTATTCTTGAGAGGTGTACTGTCTTTATCTCGTCAATAAACTCACTCTTTGGAGGAAGATGTTCGCTGTACTCATAAATTTCTTTGCAATTCACTCTAAAGACCCATTACTGTCCCTATAATATTACCTTGGGAACTTTTCTCTGAACTTTTTCTAACTTTGTCATAGCCTCAACATAGAAACAGTAAGCCTTGTCAGTAAAATATTTCCCAAGGTATAGCAATTGAAGCAGTTTGTATTTGTAGTAATATTTTATTGACTAAAGGCCATCAAAGGAGGCCTCAAGAAGGATGGTAGACAAATGGTAGACAAAGACTATTAATAAGACAGATCAGAAATCTCACATTTTTTTTCTATTTTAAACAGCAGAAGTAAATTTCAAGAATTAATGCAAGGAGTAAATGTTGTGATCTAAAAGTGCTTACTGTACTTATAGTTACTGTCTGGAATCAGATCCATTATATTTGTTGTTATCTGCTCTTTCAAATTAGGTGTTCCTTTTCTTTTTATTAGTGCAAAAACAAGAATCTGCTATCTTGTAATTTCTTTAGAGAATTTCCCTAATTACCCCAGCCTTCTTTTCATTATCTAGAAAGCAGGATACTATCCCTTATTGTGCAGTACTGAAAAGATTTTAGGAATTAAGTGTTACTGAGTTGAGCAAATTTCCTGCCATTTAACAATCAATAAAAAATATACATTGCTTTTAGGTGTTTTTGCTAAAATCAAGTGTAGTATCTATTCTTATCTGGTATGTCCTCTATCTGATGACAATGTATCAGAGATAGATCTTTGGATCTGGGAGTTAGAATAGGAGCTTGTTCCGTCAACTCCATACAGCAACCTAATATTGCAGAACCTCCAGAAATGGTAGACTTCCCTCATAAAAATAAATAAATAAATAAATAACAGAATTCTATATTAGTACTATTTCTTTGAGATTTAGCAATAAGCCTACACTAGGAAACTGATTATTTAATGTAGATTACATAAATGACTTCTTCGTGGTATTTGGATGTTGGTGCATAAACAATGAAGATAGAAACTGCCAGCAATGAGCTACATCTATTCAAGTGTAATTATCTGGTTCAGGTTGTTAGGCATTCAAATTAATCAATGTTCATGTCCAAGTTCGTGTTGACAAGAACACCGACACCACCAATTCCTCTTTTGTCACATGTTCCGAGGAACAGTTCTTATCCAGTGTTGAAAATGGCGTGATGTGATCGATGCCTTCTCGTCTTGGTCAGACAAATGATGTTGTACTTGATCTTCTGGGATCCACAATCAGGCCCCCGATGTATCTTTATACATGCGTTGAAAGTACAGACAGTCATTTTAGTTCTTCTTCGTTTTGGCAGCCTAGTTTGGCCCTGAGATTTTACCACCCTCTCCTTGTTCATCTTTTTTAACACTGCCGTATTGGGGGCTCTTTCAGGATCAGGTGAATGAGACCCACTGTTTTTACTATTTTTGGCATATCTAATACGCCAAATATAGCTTTCCAGATTCTGCCTGGAGAAGTTATACATGGAGCTGGAGAAAATCTAGGAAGAAGATCACACCTTCTACAAGATCATTGTCTATATTTTTTTTGTAAACTACCTTTATTTTTATTTCTTTTTCAGATACATACTTTTAAATAGGATGTGTTTCATTATTCAGACATTCAGGCCATATTGACTTCATTAGTGTTGACAGAAAAGAAGCATAAAAATGCAAAACATTGTTAGCTTAACCTGAACATACCTGCATTACCTCTGATTGACCAGTTTGTGTTGCCAATAAACTTATTCCTTGGCAATAAAATGGAGCACTTGAAAATATTGCTAAAAAGCAAATGTCTACATAGAAGGTGTGTATATTAATTCAATTATGGACTTAAAATATTTTAAAAGTATAAATACCCTTATTTGCTCTCTGTGATTTTAATGCCAAGATAGGACTGAGAATATCGGCTGAAGAACTCTACATCAAGACCCATGGCCTAGAAGGAACAGAATGACAGACTGTCTGAGTTCTTCATGTCAACCAAGACCATCCATGGTAACTCACAGTTCCAGAAGGCTGAATCTAAATGTTGGACATGGGAGTCTCCCTGTGGACAGTTCCACAACAAAGTTGATCACATCATATTTAATCAACGGCTGTTGTCCCAAAATTCCAAAAGCGATTAGACAACCATCAGACAACCTATGGGATACAGCGAAAGCCGTAGTAAGGGGGAAAATTATAGCTCTGCAAGCATATCTTAAGCCTGTAGAAAGGATGCACATAAATAACTTGACCTCACAGCTCAAAACCTTAGAAAAGGATCAACAGAAAGAGCCTAAATCAGGCAGAAGGAAAGAGATCATAAAACTTAGAGCAGAAATCAATGACATGGAAACCAAAGAAACAATCGGAAAGATTAATGAAACCAAGAGCTGGCTCTTCGAGAAAATAAACAAGATAGATAAACCACTAGCAACACTCACAAAGAAACAAAGAGAGAGAACCCTAATAAACTGAATCAGAAATGAGAAGGGGGATATCACAATAGAAACAAAAAAAAATCCAAAAGATGATCTGAGACTACTTTTAAAGTCTGTATGCCACGAAACAAGAGAACCTAGAAGAAATGGATAAGTTCCTCGACTCCAATAATCCCCCAAAGCTGAATCAACAATATCTGGAGTATCTGAATAAACCTATTAATATCAACGAAATCGAAACTGTAATCAAAAGTCTTACCAAAAACAAAAGCCCAGGTCCAGATGGATTTACTAGCGAATTTTTCCAAACATTTAAAGAGGACCTACTGCCAGTCCTTCTCAAGCTTTCCTAGGAAATTGAAAAAACAGAAACTCTCCCAAACAGTTTCTATGAAGCCCATATCTCTCTAATACCAAAAGGAAACAAAGACACCACGAGAAAAGAAAACTACAGGGCTATATCCCTGATGAACATGGATGCGAAGATTCTCAACAAAATACTAGCAAATAGAATTCAACTGCTCATCAAAAAGATCATACACCATGACCAAGTAGCATTCATCTCAGGGATGCAAGGCTGGTATAACACTCGGAAATCAATCAACATAATCCACCATATCAACAAAAGAAAAGACAAAAATCATATGATCATATCAATAGATGCAGAGAAAGCATTTGACAAGATCCAGCACCCATTTATGATGAAAACCCTAGCCAAAATGGGAATAGAGAGGACTTTCCTCAATATAGTTAAAGCCATCTACCACAAGCCTACATCAAGCATCATCCTCAATGGGGAAAAACTGAGAGCCTTCCCTCTAAGATCAGGGACGACACAAGGATGTCCACTCTCTCCACTGCTATTCAATATATTACTGGAAGTACCTGCAATAGTGATTAGGCAAGAAAAAGATATTAGGGGCATCCAGGTAGGAAAGGAAGAAATCAAGCTCTCACTATTCGCAAATAATATGATACTATACTTAGAGAACCCAATAAACTCCACCAAAAAAACTCCTAGAAACAATAGGCTTGTATAGTAAAGTTGCAGGCTATAAAATCAATACTGAAAAGTCCATGACTTTCCTATATGCAAATAGTGAAAGAGAAGAAAGTGACATGAAGAAAACAATACCGTTTAGAATCGTGCCCCAGAAAATCAAGTACCTAGGAATCACCTTAACTAAGGAAGTGAAGAACCTGTATAAAGAAAACTACAAAATGCTACTTCAGGAAATAAAAGAGGATATGAGGAAATGGAAAAATATCCCCTGTTCTAGGATCAGGAGAACTAACTTTGCCAAAATGGCAATACTTCCCAAAGCACTGTATAAATGCAACGTGATCCCTATTAGGATACCCATGACATTCTTCAAAGAAATGGAGCAAACACTCCTGAAATTTATATGGAACAATAAGCCCCCACGAATAGCTAAAGCAATTCTTGGGAAAAAGAAAATAGGAGGAATCAACCTCTCTAGCTTCAAACTCTACTACAAAGCAGTAATAATTAAAACAGCATGGTACTGGAACAAAGGCAGAGCTGTAGACCAATGGAACAGGGTTGAATATATTGACATCTACCCCCAAGCATACGAGCATCTAATCTACGATAAGGGGGGCAAGAAAAGTGAAGTGGAGCAGGAAAAGCCTCTTTAACAAATTGTGCTGGAAAAACTGGATGGCTACATGCATAAAAGTGGGCTCATATCTCTGCCTAACTCCATGTACAAAAGTAAAATCAAAGTGGATTAAAGACCTCAACATCAGATCGGAATCCATAAGGTACATTAAGGAAAAAGTTGGCAAAACCCTCCATGACATAGAAGCTAATGCTGTCTTCAAAGATGTCACACCGCTGGCCAAGCAAGTGAAAACAGAGATAGACAAATGGGACTATCTTAAACTAAGAAGCTTCTGCACTTCAAAAGAAAAAGTGACCAAAATACAAAGACAGTCTACAGAATGGGAAAGGATATTCACTAAATACACGTCCAATAAGGGGTTGATATCAAAGATATACAAAGTACTGGTTGAACTCCACAAAAAGGAAACATCCAACCCCATCAAAAAATGGGGAGATGAAATGAATAGAAACTTTCACAAAGAAGAAATTTGAATGGCAAAAAGGCACATGAGAAAATGCTCCACATCATTAATCATCAGGGAGATGCAGATCAAAACCACAATGAGATATTTCACACCACAGAGACTGGCCCATATCCACAAGAACAAAAGCAACTGGTGCTGGCATGGATGTGGCGAGAAAGGGACACTCCTTCGCTGTTTGTGGGAATGCCGACTGGTTCATCGTTCAACAGTATGAACGATTCTCAAAAAATTAGAAATTGAGCTCCCATTTGATCCAGCAGTACCACTCCTGGGAATATATCCCAGAGAGGCAAATAAGTGTAGTTGAAGTGACATCTGCAATTGTTTGTTCATTGCAGCACTCTTTACAATAGCCAGAATCTGAAAAAAACCTGAGTGCCAGAGAACAGATGACTGGTTAAAGTCTACACAATGGAGTACTATGTAGCTGTTAGAAAAGATGAAGTCATGAAATTTACATACAAGTGGTACTACATGGAAAGTATCATGTTAAGCGAAATGACTCAGAAAGAAAGGGATAGACATAGAAAGATTGCATTCATCTGGGGAACATAAAGTAACAAAATAGGAGACTAACACCCAAGAATGGCTGAGATTAGTACCAGGAATTTTACTCCATGGCTTGGAGGCCAACCACACATGCTAGGGGAAAAGGGAGCTCAGATAGAGAAGGGAACACCAAATAAAGGTGTTGGGAGGATCCTCCCAGGATGGGAGAAGCATGCTGAAAGTAGACTATAGATCCAAACGTGATTGTCACCCATTGCCTCTTTTGCAAACCACAACACCCAATAAGAGAGAGAGAACAAAAGGGAATGCCCTGCCACAGAGGCAGGGTGGGATGGGTGGGATGGGGGGTGGGAGGGATCCTGGGATCCGTGGTGGTGGGAAATGGGCACTGTTGGAGGGATGGGTATTTGATCATTGTATAATTGAAACCCAAGCACAAAAATCTGTAAGTCTGCAACTGTACCTCATGATGTCTGACTAATAAAAATAAAAAAATTTTAAAAAGTGATGAGTAATAGGATGTCAAGTGATGTTAACTGATCAAGTGACATAAATGACTGTGGGCTAAGAAAAAAATTGTGACAACCTCTTCTTGAACAGCTAAAAACGCAATCAATTAATTTATAGTAGAAGTTTAGTGTGTGTATTCACCTACACTTGCTGGGAAATCATCAATTAATAAATTGTTCATTTTTAAGTTTCTAGTCAACAATGAGAACACTAAACTTTACTGTTCTCAAGTTGGTTGTTTAACCGCACGCATGGATGTCCAAACTCCTTAAAAC